ATTCATTAGACAAAATTTTTTATCATTTCCTACGACGGTTGTTCACGCTCCTTCTAGAACTCAATTTAAAGGACTGTTAGACATTTATTTATGCGAAGCCTCGCGGTGGCGAACATACTGCCCCGCGCTGAGAACATAAAGAGCGGTGCTGCACCCTTTTTTCACTTGTGCCTTTCAGGTGAACGACAGCCGCTAACCGACAAGAACAAAAGCGACCCGGAGAACCTGGGCAAAATCCTCGATCCTGTGTATCAATCCGTGAATCCGTGAATCCGGGATGAACTATTTTTATACCTCCTACGGCCTTCGGTCATACACTGTTTTTTGAGTTTGCTTTCCGTCGACATCTGTTTCGTTGTGACAGTGTCGCATTTGTGGCGAGGTGATCTGCGCTTTACCCCCAAGCTGGTAATTGGATCGCCTTATTTTGTAACCCTACCGTGTCTGCAAAAGGGAGTCTGTCGAGGTTTGTTGAATATGTTTTACTATCTTTGTAATTGTACCGTGATTCCAGAAACCGGGTTTCTGGGTCCTTTTCGTGGACTGGCACGCGTCAATCACGTATATAATTCAGATTGGCGTAACAGATGATTTGTTTAATTGAGCAAACCTTCAAGGTCATCTGCAACCGCCGACTAGGAATATGTTGCCTAATTGAGTGAGGTATCGTGAGCCAATAAAACGTAAGCCGCTTACAGTGGACGAGATTTGCAGGCAGCTTTGCCGTTGAAATAGTTTGTTGAGCTTTCTCGACTCTATATTGTGCTTTCAGACGCAAAATATACGGGGAGCCACTCCCGTGATTAATTTGTACTATGTATTTCCTACCTGATTGGAGGATCACCAAGTCCACTGCTCCATGGTCTCAAGCTTCCCTGTTACTATTTTTACTCATTATTTTAGGTTAACTGGTGCAAGGTTTGAAGAATGAATGGCCTGCAGATAACGGTGATCTATGTCCTGTGGAGCAAGCTCCCCGTACTAGATATGGCAAAATATGCCACGGAGATCATGTTTTCGATCAAGGCAGACGACTGAAACAATATAGATGGTTAAGCGGAATAAAATACGGCAAGGGGCGACGATGCCTAATCATCTGGTGAGGTGCCATCTACGTCAACCAATGAGGACATAGCGAGCATACCGCGCCCGTTCGTCCAGAACGTTAAAAGGTCATGGGTCCAAAATGGACGGGAGAAAGCGTCGTATTTTCATAGACTTTTGATAAACATGTCCCGGAAAAAAAACGCTGTTCTATTTTCGCAGTGTTTACCAAGATTTTGTGTCCCGAAATGGAAAATCCATGAATTGGTTTGCCAGGATGTCATTATGATACAGGCGACTGATAAACCGGCAACAAGATACCATGGGACGCGCAACCAGGCGGCGACAATCTCTGTTTAAAGCTCACACCATTCGTATTGCGTGATATATATGTATATGTATGCAAGTATAAAATATACATATAACAATTACTGAACCTCTGCCACAAGCATGCAAGTACAGTGCCAAAAAGCAGTTTTTTCACCATTCACCATGCCTTAGATTTAAGATCATAGCAGGCTGGAGACCATTCTCTTACATTCACTTTCTCTTCAAGATCATGGTACCGTCTGACTCACAAACCGAATTCCAGATGAACTAAGCAAACATCACAATCTGTTCCCCGTCAGTCCTTATATAATTGATTTCCTCAACCAAGAAACCACTCTGCGTGTTTATATAGGCTTGTTCTATATCTCTTGTAACTTATTATCCTATACCAGCAAACTCAGCCTGTGGTCGTTCGCCAGTATACTAAGTAAAATCCACCCCCATCCTGTTGCATTTGATCACTTTTTGTCGCCAACATAAATGTGGTAAGCGGCAAGCTTTTTTTCTCTCTCCAATTATGCAAATCTTCCTGTCTTATGTGTCCTCAAACTCACTAGAATTTATTTATCTCATCCCATTCTCTCGCCTTCCCACTCTTCGAACTTTGGCAATACCTGATTTGGACGCCCTGTTTGGCAGTAATCCACTCCACCTGGTCTGTAATCTGCATCCGCAGAGATCCATAAACGGACCAGAAAATGCCTGCGTCGGCTGCGTTCTATCTCTGGATTTCCTCGACCACCCTGCAAGAATCCCTCTGCCTAAAACTCCTACATTCTAACTCAGTGACTTTAAATATGGAGTCACGATGTACAGAGAATTTACAGAGACTCAGTGAGCGGAATGAGGGTCTAAAAGTCCCTCAATGGTGGGAGCTGGAACAAACGCATAAAATTTAACGCTGACTACATAAAAAGTAGCTGACCTTATGGGTGGCACAGATTGAAAGACACCTAAATTTTTGGATTCGGACGGTAAGTTTGGCGGATTAGAACGAACGCGCTCCATAAGGGGCTGGAGATGGGTTAAAATTTTGCTTGCAGTTGCAGTAGAAGCCGGCACTCTCTAGTGAATAATGTGAATAATTGTACATCGGCAACTATTCCCTTCAAACTCTCGAGCGTAACTTCGCGTCCACTCGTCCAACTACCGCAAATACGAGCAAATACTACACCCGGCCCAGCCGCCACCAGGACGCTTCCATTCAATTCCGCTAAACTCTTCTTTGAGATTTGACCATTTAATCGGTCTTCCTGGACAAGCTCTAGGCGCACACTCAAAGTTTCTCCGAAATAGCAGTTTGAAGCAAGTAACCTTTAAAGTAACGTTTTGGTATTTGATGGCACATATTCAGGAACTTAAAATGTCCACATGCCACCCTAGTTGTATTGGGGGTTGCTTAGATAAATTCGGGTTAAATTTATATTTTGCTGGCTGCCGCCGACTTCTAGCATTGTCTCCGTGGAAATTGTGAGAAAATTAGTGAAAAAGCTAGTTTCTTTACGTGCTTTCTTCCTCGTTGGATTCGGAAATATCCTCAAAACGACACCGACAATGACCAAACCCTTCACGTAGGCGCATACTCAAAGAAAAAAGCTATTCGAGACCCGAATGTTAAAAATTTCGCGGTGCCATAGTTGTTTCCGTGATCAGTCCCGCAAACAAACCTCTTGGATGACGCGTTTTAGGTTGTCAATGTGAGTTAGACTGCCAGCCAAAATAACAGTCGAAAGTTGTAACAAATCCTAACTACTTAAGTGAAGCGACACTGACCGGTTTCAAAAAACGATAATCGGTATTCTGTTGCAGGTACGAGGCGTGCGGTCAATGTGAACAGGCGTAAACATATATGATTACAAGGAACGTGCATTGGTTAGATTGTGTGCAAATAAGGTAGCTCAGATCTTGAAGCGACATGATATCGGAAATATCTGGTGTTGCTGCGTATTTCTACGACGAATTGACCTTTGAATGGAGCTGTTACTGCTTAAAGAAAAGCATGGAGCTTTCTGTTGCTACTGAGACATCATATCGTGTGTGTGTGGTTAGTCTCTTTCAACAATTTTTGCTCTAGTAGTGAGTTTTTCGACTCATAGGGGGGTTGCTCTGGAAACAGGCGTTGGACAAAAAGTTGCTTCCATTTTAGAGTTCCCTTGTTTATTGCGCAAGGAACATTATGATCTTAATCGCGCGGAAACAGTACGTTTAAGGCAGGAGGCAGATATTTGAATTAAGAGTTTTCAGCCGTGCAGCCTTTTGCACCGTCGCGCATAAGAAGTGCAGAAGCAGTCGCTGGATTTTCGCAGGGTGGTCGAGGAAATCCAGAGGTAGAACGCAGCCGATGCAGGCATTTTCTGGTCCGTTTATGGATCTCTGCGGATGCAGATTACAGACCAGGTGGAGTGGATTACTGCCAAACAGGGCGTCCAAATCAGGTATTGCCAAAGTTCGAAGAGTGGGAAGGCGAGAGAATGGGATGAGATAAATAAATTCTAGTGAGTTTGAGGACACATAAGACAGGAAGATTTGCATAATTGGAGAGAGAAAAAAAGCTTGCCGCTTACCACATTTATGTTGGCGACAAAAAGTGATCAAATGCAACAGGATGGGGGTGGATTTTACTTAGTATACTGGCGAACGACCACAGGCTGAGTTTGCTGGTATAGGATAATAAGTTACAAGAGATATAGAACAAGCCTATATAAACACGCAGATTGGTGTGGTTAGTCTCTTTCAACAATTTTTGCTCTAGTAGTGAGTTTTTCGACTCATAGGGGGGTTGCTCTGGAAACAGGCGTTGGACAAAAAGTTGCTTCCATTTTAGAGTTCCCTTGTTTATTGCGCAAGGAACATTATGATCTTAATCGCGCGGAAACAGTACGTTTAAGGCAGGAGGCAGATATTTGAATTAAGAGTTTTCAGCCGTGCAGCCTTTTGCACCGTCGCGCATAAGAAGTGCAGAAGCAGTCGCTGGATTTTCGCAGGGTGGTCGAGGAAATCCAGAGGTAGAACGCGGCCGATGCAGGCATTTTCTGGTCCGTTTATGGATCTCTGCGGATGCAGATTACAGACCAGGTGGAGTGGATTACTGCCAAACAGGGCGTCCAAATCAGGTATTGCCAAAGTTCGAAGAGTGGGAAGGCGAGAGAATGGGATGAGATAAATAAATTCTAGTGAGTTTGAGGACACATAAGACAGGAAGATTTGCATAATTGGAGAGAGAAAAAAGCTTGCCGCTTACCACATTTATGTTGGCGACAAAAAGTGATCAAATGCAACAGGATGGGGGTGGATTTTACTTAGTATACTGGCGAACGACCACAGGCTGAGTTTGCTGGTATAGGATAATAAGTTACAAGAGATATAGAACAAGCCTATATAAACACGCAGATTGGTTATGTGGTTGGGCTTGATCATTGTTATTCGCCATTTCGGTGAACAGGTCTGGTCACCATACATATAATCGTCTCTGCCAACGTGGTACCACTCTCTCGTGGTTCCACAGTTTTGTTTGAACTACCAGCACACTTAGGAGGCTTAGATCGACTGTGACCCCCGTAATACAATCTCTAGTCCATTTGAATGTTTATCTCTTATGCAGCTCTGCAGAAGCAACTCAAATCTGTGCATCGCGGAATCCTTGTTTCGGTTGTTCACTTCCTTCCTATCTGGTGGTTCACAGATAACACAAATTGGTGACTGCCAGCCATCCTCACAACCCATCACGAGTGGAGTCATTCAAGGGAGCGTGATAGGCCCCATGCTCTTTTTACTGTATATCAATGACATCTCCGAAGCCTTATCTCATGATGAACCCTTTCTTTTCGATGACGGTATAAAAATTGCTTACACACTTCCTCCCTCTGCTAAAATTCTATTCTTTCGCAACGTCCAACAAAACTTAGACTCTGGCCCGCTGGTCAAATGCCT